AGATACGATAGCCAGGAAATTGTTCATCAGGCATTTTTATCTTTACTTATTTATTTGAAATGTAGAATGACACAGGGAGAGGCAGACACAGAGACATCTCCCTCTGTTGGTTCACTCTCCAAATGGCTGCAGCAGAAAGGGCTGGACCAGGTTAAAGGCCTTTTTTATCCATCTGGGTTTTCCACGCAGATGGCATAGGCCCAAATATTCGAACCATCACCTGCTGCTTTCGCACGCACATTAGCAGGGAGCTGGATCAGAAACAGAGCAGCTGGGACTCGAACTGGCACTCATGTGGGTTGCCAGAGTCTCAGGCAGTGGCTTAATTCACTGAGCCACAATGGCAGCCCCAGGCATTTTTATTAAAATGTGATAACATTCAAGGGAGAAAAGGATCTTAAGCTAGACACATAACATACACATATCCATCAGCCATGTAAAACATTCTCCAGAAGAGGAGAGAAAGAAGGGTTTCTGGTCCAGAAAACCAGGCTTGATTTGCTCTCCTTGGAAGACTGCAAGTTTTACATCTTGATTTTCCTTTTCAGCCTTTTCACATTATGTGTTTGCATGGATAATCAGAACTTCTTTTTTTTTTACATTTTTGTATAATGTATGCTATTCTCATGTTCTAAGCACCACTAGGATTCTGCGTCTGTCTTTTTTATAAGAGGTGATTGAGGCTGGCACGCTAAGCTGCTGGCTTTGTCTCTGGCCTTGCTCTGCTTCCATTCCCTCATAATGTGCCTGGGAGAGCAGAGAAAGATGACCCAGGTCACCCACCTGCCACCCACGTGGGTGGTCCAGATGGACTTCTGGGCTCCTGGTTTGGGTCTGCACAGGCCCCAGGTACTGCTGCTCTCCAGGGGAGGGAACTAGGGATGGAAAATATTTCCTCTCTCTTCCCCTCCCTCCTTCTCTCATTGTTCCCTTCAAATAAATACATCTCTTAAACTTTTTCTAATTTTCTTTTTAATATTGTTTACATGGTTGAGAGGGATGCATGCCCATGTGGGCCTCTGATTAGGGTGGGGAGAGTCATGTGTGAAGGAAGGTGGGTGGGATAGTTTCAGCTTTTTTTTTCCTCCTGTGTCAGCAGGGGAGAAGGGGAAGAGGACTGTTCTGTGGTGTCAAACTATATAAGCAGCCAGGAATGGGGGACAGTTGTTTGATGATGCCTTAGAGATCCAGATGTGCTAACAGTGTTCCAAGAATGTTACTTAGGTGATTCTGATAGTTCACAGAAGTTGTTGATTTTGTTGCTCCAGGGTTCATAAAACCTTTCCAAGGTTTATGGTTGACAAAGTCCACCTTAGTGCATCCACTGACCCAGAAGCATACTGCAAAGTTTGGCCAGAATTGTTCAGCCTGTTCTTTCCATCCTCTGATGAAGCACTTGATGTCCCCTGCTGGCCTAGATGAGCTGGCCGTCATGTCCCCCATGTGTGTCTGGGCATGCTGTCCACAACACAGGCATCAGCAACTGAGCAGGCCCTGTCTCAATACACACACACTCCAAAGTCGAACTACACATCCTGTGATTCTCCCTGTGGCCAGGGTCTGCATCCAGAAATCTAGTTGGGGAGTCCACAAGAAACCTTGCCTGGGGTGACCTCAGACTTGACTCTTGTGTGCATCAGCCTGTGCAGTATCAGATTCAGTCTATTACCTACCTGCACTGGCAGGATGCAAGCTGCCTGGTCAGTTCTGTCCCAACCCCGTGACTCATATGAACTAAAGGGTGCTGCAGCCCTGCCCAGCCAGCCCACTGGACTGTCTTCACTCATAGCAAAGGGCTTGCTGCAGCCCAGATAAAAACAACCCCCAATAACTCCCACCAAGCCAACCCACAGCCCTGCCTTTTGCATGTGCCAGCCTCTGCTGTGGCCTAGCCCAGCCCAGCCCACATCCCATCTGGCTCTTGTGTACATCCATGAGTTCCACAACTTAGCTCAGCTTGACCCATCCATCCCCAGACACCCAGCCGTCATGTACACCAACAGATGTTACAGCCTTGTACAGCCTGGTCCACCCCTCAGCCCTGGTTCTTGCACTCACTAACCACAGGTACATAGTGCCCATAGTTGCCCTGCCAGGCATGTCCCCAGCCTCTGATCTTGTATCTGTCATGGGGTATTGTGGTCCAGCCTGACATGCTTTGCACCATCCTGGCATTTGCTAGCTGGTGGTACAACTCAGTCTGAATGATCCACCCCAGTCTTGGCATTTGGCAGCAGGTATTGCTCAGCCAGGCTCACCTCGGCTCATCCCCAGTCCAGCTTTTACTGTTGAGTACAGCAGCCTAGCCCAGCCTGGCCCACTCCCAGTCCAAGCCCTCATGTGAACTGGCAAATGTTGCAGTCCTCCCTGGCCTGGCCTGCATGTACCCTGTTCTGGCTCTGAATTGTGCTACTCCGTGTGCTGCAGACCGACCCTGCCTGACTTGCATTCAGACCCAGCTTACATATATGCCAATGGGTGCTGCAGCCCAGTCTGGTCTGGCCTGCTCCTAGCCCTGGCTCTTACACTTATCAGTGGGAGCTGCAGCCTAGCAGGGGAGTACCCCACCCTCTCCTACCAGGCACGCTCCCAGCAACAGGTCTTGTGCTGGTGAGTGTTGCTGCCTGGAGGGACCCTCAGCACAAAAGCCAGCTCCCCCCAGGAGTTACCTGAAGAAGCACACGCCTCTTTTCTCTTTCTTGCTTAGCTACCCCACAAGTTTCTATGGTTTCCAATGGAGAGTCCTCATTTTAAAAAAATTTTTCCAATTTTCCCTGAATAGAGATTTTAGCTTTTCCCTTAAAGAAAGTTCTGTGTTCCCAAACTACACATTAGAATTGATTTAGTATGGAACAAAGCTGGGGTAAATGAATGAAGTCTCTACTGTAGACAAAACTCCTGCATGTGCTTCCCCGGGAGCTTCCTCTCCAGCTCCCCCTACTGGCCAGTGCCCCCAACCCTGCGAAGAAGCTGTAACTTCTTTTAACATCCTCCTTCAGAAAGCCATAGCCTGCAACTATTTAACCCCAAGTTTCCCTACTTCAAAAAAAGTGGGGGGAATTCCAGGGATCTTAGGGGTGGTAAGACATGGAAGCTGAAAAGCTGCTAACTGGAGTTTGCAAAAACAGTGTTCAGGCTGTGCCAGAAATGTACATGACAGAACGAAGATGTGCAGTGGGGGTTGTGCACTCCACTCCCAGAGGTAAACCACAAGGAAAGCTCAACGCCGTCACCATTTCGGACACATACTTTATTGTTTAGAATTTTCCAGCAACAGCTATCATTAAGTACCTATGTTGGGAGATGCCTGTGAGAGCCCGGGGTTGAAAAACAGCCACAGCAGGCCCAGGCCTGGTCCTCCTGTATACTTGCATGTACGGGTCCGGAACGCGGCCTGAACTCCAGGCCTGGGGCACGTCCCCCCCTGCCGGCACCCAGATGAACAGCAGCAGCTTCCCAACTGTAGATCCAAAATGCAACCCCAAGCCACAGACAGCATTCCCAGGTGGTGCCCAGACAGGAAAGGCACCACGGTAACCGATGGTCAGCACTCCGACCTGAGGTTTTTTTTTTACCCACCCCGGCTGACCTTATCATTTGTTTGTTTCAAAAGCAAACCATATCTTTAAAAAAATCATGTAAACGTTGCAAAGTTGTAAGGGGTTATTTATAATCTGAAGAGATTTGTAAAAAAAAAAATTACCGGGCTTGTTAAGACTACAAATGCTAACCCTTCCTCCCTTCCCCATGAAAAAAGCAATTGTTACAAAAATATAAAAAATATACTAGCTTCTACTATTTCACCTCTCCACCGGAGATCTCATGACCTTAGGACACGTCCTGGTTTATGTACCATACTGCAAGCACAAGTGGAATTTCTTCATTTTGGGGGGCAGGGGGAAGAAGTTCTGAAATACTCCCTTTTACCATGACAGGTGGTGGCTACCCCCCTCCTGGGGAGTGCAATGGCAGTTTGTGGTCTTCAGCTTCTTCCCCAGCACGCACCCAGTGTGGGAGTTACCGGATCGGGACTGCTGTGGGCCTCACCTCGTGACCTCTTCTGACTTCCCTTGCCCAGCTCCTTCCAGTCTACTTGGAGACTTGCTGGGTCCCCAGGGTCCTGAGCTGGCAGAGCTTCCCCGACTTCCCGCAGCAGAAGGAAGGTCAGCGGAGGGCTCCCAGTAACGGGAGAACACCAAGTGGAGCTGTTGCCCATGGCACCTGCTCCCTCGGGATGTGGGCCAGCGAGGATGCTAGTGCCAGGGAGGCTGCGTGTTTCGTGACTGCCCCTCTCCTGGCCCAGAGGGATGACCAGTGCAACTAGACTGGGGTTAGGTACAGAGCCAGGAGTCAAGGTGAAGGCAGAGCTCTTTGCATTCGGTTAAAACATCTCCAGTCAGATCAGATCACCTCCCCTCTCGCCGCCAAGCTCTGTTCCCTTCACCCATGGAGAGCTAGAAGATGGGGCCAAACTCAGTTTGAAACAATTCTAGAAACTACATGAGTCTGACTGTCAGGGGGGGTCAAGTCCTCAAGCACCCACCCCCCACTCCTGGCTCAGGACATTTTCAGTCTGTCACTGTTGCCCCTGCCGCCAGCAAGGGGCATTAGTGTACAGGGGCCATCAGGCCCTGGCGAGAGCACTGGCACTGATTGGTAACCTGTGAGATGGTTACCAGGCAGCATCCCTCTAACTGGGACTTTTCTGGGCTGTATCTGTAACCCTGAAGTCCAGGGTAACCTGGACATGCGTCCAGGCTCGGCATGTCCAAGAGGATCCTTCGTCCCTCAAACTGTAGCTAGACAGAGTTCTCACTGGCGGCTGGTGCAGCTCCGAAGTGGAGGCTTCAGGCCAGTCATCCTTTGAGGGATTGTCTGACCTTTGGCTGTCTCCTCCACTGTCCACCACAGCCTAGGCCAACCTGGGTGCCACTGGTGAGCCTCATGGCAGCAGGCTCAGTCCCCACGGACTTGTGGGCCCTACTGTTGGAAAGACTAGATTTTTCACACCACTAAGGGTTTTATTTTGCAGATCACGTTTGCTGAGTTTTAGATTTCCAATCCTCTAGTAGTGAAGTTAGGCATGTCCCAACACCTGCTGGAGTCTGGATCTGGAACACCCCCCATGACTTCACTCTGGCTGTGGGAAACCCCAATGGACTGCTCCCAAAGCATCACCACTAAACAGAGATTTTGAGACCCTTAGCCACACCTGCTGAGCAAGTCCCTCTACTTTGGTTGCAACAATAAACAGGGTCTCCAAGGTTTCCTCCGAAGACAAGTGCTCCCAACATCAAGGCACGAAGAAAGACGTCTCCTGGGCCAACTGAGGCTGCGGCAGAGCCGCTGGGGGAGGCCTGGCTGGGTGGCGGCAGGCCAAACCCAGGACAGGTCCCCCTGGCTCCCCGGGCCCACGGCGAGCTCACGCGTACTTCTCCAGGAACTTTATGTGGAAGTCCTTGACCTTCTGGAGCACCGTCTTCAGCTTCTCCACTGGTGGGAGGATGGTCATCCTGCAGGGAGAGTGAGCAGGCGTGGGCAAGGAGCCTCGAGACGGCACCTGCACATGTGCAATCCCAGCCCTTAGTTTCCGCACTGTCTCTTTACTCAAGTGACATGCACACCTAAAATCAAAAAACTAGGGGAGACAGGTAAACTAGCTAGGAAAAATTGGCCATTACTGCAGGAGGCCTGCACAGCATTCCCATGGCTACACAGAACTTTCTAGAGTTACTTGGGAACAGTAGGACAACCTCCAAGCATTAACTCCCTCCCCCTACAGGCATTCCCAGAGGGGTAGGGAGCCAGAGGGAGGGTGGCTTGGGCGGGGACAACAGGAAGTGACTGGGATAGTGAGAGGAGAGCCAGCCATGCTGCCATGGAAATCCCTCCAGTCCCGTTACTCCACTCCTGAAATAGTCTGCAGGAATGACTGAGGTGCTCCTGACAGAAACGAAACTGTCACCCGGATGTGGGGTGTTCATCTTGGGGACACTATCTAAAACCATCACTGTAAGTCAGGGCTTGGCTCCACGTGCCACCAGCTTAAGACTATTCCTTTTAGCATCAGTCATGGGAGACTTGTGAGAGTAACTTGCATGGAGAAGCTGCTGTTCTGAACAGAACAGGCCAAGGAGCCCTTGCAGCGCTGCTCCTGCCACCTCAGCTCTAGCACCTGCACCAGGAAGAGGGTAGGTTGGTGAGGGAGTGAGGGACAGACCCCTGGTGTGTGGGACAAGGCCTGGTATATGGCGACAAGGTCATGGATGTTCGACAAGGCCTGGCATGTGGGACAGGGCCCCAGTGCATAGGATGGAGCTCTGGTATTTGGGGCAGGGCCTGGCACATGGAACAGAGCTTTGGTGCATGGGACAGGGATCCAGTGTGCGGAAGCAGGGCTGTGATGTGTGGGGACAGGGCTACCACATGTGGGGGACGGAGCTCATCCCCACCCTTGTAAGTATAGCACCTTAAGAGGCAGGGTTGGGCCTGCAGGCCATCACTGCCATCAGAGAACTTCAAAGGGCCATGCAAACATAACGACCCTTAGCATGACAGACAGAGGTAGTGAAGGCGAGTGGCAGGACAGCTAAGGCCAGCCTCCTGCAGATGACCCTGGGTCACCCAGCTTGCCTCAGTGGGCAAAGGCCTGAGCCTGGCTCTGTGGCAGGATAGAATGGGGTGGCACGGGTCAGGCCTCTGCATATCGCCATCTCTCATCTTGTGCCCCATTACCCCTGGCCCCATGGTACCTGAAATGATAGGTGCCTTCCCTCTGGCCAAAGCCGCTGCCGGGCACAACACAGATACCCGTCTCCTCCAGGAGCTTCATGCAGTAGAACATGTCTGGGGCCATCTTATGGGCCTGTGGGGGCAGGGGTGAAAAGTACTTGCTGGCCTCACGCCATACGAGCACTCAAACCCTCAAAGCCAATGCCATCTAAGCAGCAGGTGATCTAATGGTGAGACCTTTTTCCTCCCAGCTCCCTTCGGGAGGAAAAGAACAGTGCGGGTAGCTGGGGCAGGAGACCAGACTCCTGACGTCACTGCAGGATGGCTGCGGCATTGGCACTCTGCCGTTTCCCGCAGAATGCCAGTCTATTTCTTCCCAGGGGACTGCTCAGCAAGGTTGGAGGGTGGCCTCCTGTGAGATCAGGGCCCTGGGCTGCATCCAGCGGGGAGCAAGCTCTTCAAGGGAGGCTGTTGAGGCTGCTCACACACTGCAGTTTGCTCAACCACTGCCGGATTCTCCTCCACTAGTGATTCTGATGCTGTAGGCTGTCAGGAGGTTCTGGGGGGGTGGGCTGCGAACCTCAGTTCCAGAAACCCCTCTGACCCAATCCTCCACTTGGGGCCTGTGGTCCCACCCAGGTGACAGGTGCACAAGCCCAGGAAGTGTCTGGTGCTGTCCTCTGGTTGCGTTTTATCCGAGTCCCTCCCTTTGGAGCAGCAGTGTTTTCTGGGCTCCAGTGACCCAGGCTCACCTTGTGTGTGCCCCACCACTATAGCATTGTGCTTGAGCTGGGTCCTCTGTTGTGCTGGTGTGGTAGACATTATCTGACCAAGAGGACTACAAGGTCCAGGACCACAGGATCAGTAGCACCTCTGCTCCCCAGGGCATGCAGCGCCACCCCCCGCACCCCGCAAACCCAGCCAGGGGAGAGTGTGAGCCAGCCAGACTGCACCCCAGACCTGAGCCTCCTCCACGGCCTTGGTGGGGATGAAGATCCGAGGAAAGGCATACATGGCTCCCTGCAGGGGGTTGCAGTGGATCCCTGGGACCTGGTTAAACAGGTCTTCCGTCAGCTTTGCTTTCTTGGCGAGGTTCCCCAGGACGGACTCCTTCTCCTGGTAAGAGACGAAGGGCACAGGAATCAGTCACTGCAGACAAGGACGGCTCCCAGGCACTGGGAGGAGTCGCTGGGTGGACTGACAAAAGGCAAGCTTATGTGTGCATTTCCACAGCCAGCCATGGAGGTGAGTGTAATGTCCAGGAGACTGCCCCAAGCCATGAATCCAAAGGGACCCTCAGGACAAGGGTGAGTCGTGGACAGCCAGGGCACAGCACTGAGCATGAGGAAGACCATTCCTGTCCCTTAGACTGGGTGGCCTTGGATGGGATGCCCTAGAGCCACTTCCTTCGGGGAACTCTCAGACAGGGTATTGTGCAAGACCAGAGCTGGCTGTAGGGTGGGGGAGGGAGTAAGCAGGTGCAAGGCTGCAGGTGAGCAGAGAAGCCAGCGTGACTCATCCACACAGAGGCCGGCTGGACCCACGTGAGGAAGGGCCTTGTGCCACACACTCCCACAGCCACGCACCTCGACAGCAAGGCTCTGAGCTCTGAGCACAAGCCAGCCACAAGGAGCTCACAGAGACACGGGGAACACTCGTATGTAGCAGGAATGGAGCTTCAGCTTGGGGTGACCTGTGGGATGGATGCTAGGGACTAACTGTCCAAGGTGCATGGGACAGGTGCCACAGCACCAACCACCTGAGAGGGGTCAGGATGGCCACTTGCTGGTCATACATTATTTTATCACACACTCACAAAACCGGGAAAAAAAACCCCACCCAATGTAGGCCTGGGAGACTGGGGACCTGACTTCCTGGTTCTGTAGTTCATCAAATCTTTGTTTGGGAGTCAGGCTTTTGTCAGCCGCTATCAGAGAGCCTGGGCTGGATCATATGGGGCTGGAGGAATCCTGGTGGGACCAGAGGCCTGTGGCCTACAAGCCATGCTGTGCCCACAAACATCTCCATCTTTTCCCCAGCTCAGTGCCAAAATCCCCCAGGGGGTCATCAGGACTCAGGTCCTTCCTACTGGGTGCCTCAAAGGGAAGAGGAAGCAGAGTCTACCTGCCACCTGCCCACATGCAGTCCTGGTCCTCCCTCTTGAAGACCCCACCCATTGCATCCTCCAACTTTATCAACTCCTGGGGAGTCTGGGAGGCAGCAAAGGAGACCGAGGGAGCCCCAGGGGCCACACTCATCTAGCTACCTGCCACCTGGCTGGCAGCAGTGACACACACTCACCCTGCTGAACTGCTCAAAGGACTCCTCTCCCGGCACGGGGGGGTTCACGACAATGTCCATGGCGGCCTGTCCAGACACTGGCGGGCACAGACGGACGGACAGCAGTTTCACCAGCTGGCCCTTGATCTCGGGGTGCAGGTTGATCACTTCCATGTATCCCCCCCTGTAGCCACACCTGGAGGGAGAGAGGGAGAGGAAAGGGTAAGAGAGGCAGAGAGAAGCCACGAGACACACAGACCTCAATAAGGTGTCAACTTGGACGGGCAGAACCCACAACCATCCCCACCTCTGCCACCCAAGGGCCAGGAAGGTGGATGTGAGCGATCTCTTGTCCTGCCTCCTGGGAAGTGGACTGAGCAGGCTCGAGTGCTGGTGACCAACACCACAGTGAAGACGGATCCTGAAGGATTCCATGGAGCGCAGGCTGCTCTGCATGCTCCCCGTCTTTGGATTGTTATGTTACACTTCCATCTTGTTTGAGTCACTGCAGTTTTGGGCCATTTGGTCATAGCAACATAGTCTGGCCTTTGCTCAACACAGGTTCCAGGGGTAGGTACCAAAAAGCATTGGCCTGGAACTGTCTTGGCTGCCTGAAGCACAGGCGGCTCAGAGGAAGAGCCCAGCTGAGAAAGAAAACAGACATAGCCAGAGGCCAAGAGGCAGGCCCCACTGACATCATCAAGCTCCTGTGCTTTTTACCAACACAGAGTTTTTTGAAATGGCGGTTTGGAGTAAGTCACTTCAAGTTCAGTCTTATAATTTACTTTCAAGACATCTGACTGAAACAGTCAAATTATGCAAAAATAAGCCAGGCTTGTGAAATAAGTTTTTAAAAACTCTCTGAACCAGATAGACCATGGCAGCCGTACCTTTGGAAGCTTTGGTCTGGTGGCTCAGATCAATAATTTCAGAAACGTGCAAGGCCCTGGGTGCGCCCCATCTCCAACCTCACAGCACCTGTATGATCTCGCTGCTGAACTGAACTGGCAACGAGATATTCCACCTGATGCCCTGTGCTGGACATTCCAAGGCAGCTTTCTGAGCAGAATCTCAGAAAGGCTTCCCATAACAATTGTAGAGAGGCAGAGCGTCCTGGGTAATCCTCTGCTAATGAGCAGGAAATCAAGCTGAGCAGAGCTGTCTAATCCTAGATGATCAGGGACTGCAAACAGCAGGGCAGAACTCAGTATACCAACATCCGGGAGCATGTAGGGATGAGGGGCAGGTGCAGGCTTGACATCTCATTCACAAATAAGCCAATGGATAACAGATCTGCTGAGAAAGAATCACTCAGTATATGGAGTCCAGGAGATCAGATCAAATAAAGCCAGGTCAGCTCTCTTGACCCGGCCAGGGTATCTCCTCCTTCAGTTGCAGACTTCCATCCCAACAACCGAGAAACCTCTACATGCCAACACTCAGCACCAAAGAAACGCCCTTGGCTGCTCCCTTGGCTCACTACTCCCTCCTTCTTGGGCTCCTTTGCCACTTCCGACTCTCCTCGCTCATTCTCTGGGCACCTGGGGTTGCATCCCAGTCCTCAGACACGCCTCAGTGCGAGACAACACTAACAACCCACACACCATGTCTCCTACATATCGGACATCCGCTAGTCTCACCTATAGACCCACACCCGTCCCTACCTGGACACCAAACAGGTGTTCACAACCGTACTGTGTCCAAGAGCAAACCACCTTGTTTGCTGATCCCATCAGCCCCATCCTTCCTGCAGCCTGAACGGGGAAACCTGGGACTCGCCCTTGGTGTCTCTCACACCCTTCTTCTCCTTCAGCATCTCCTGCCAACTCCACTCCCAAATGCTTCTAGGATCTTCTGCCCATCTTTCTCCAGGAGGACTACAGCAACCTTCCACCAAGAGTCCCTGTATCTTGCCCCTGCCCAACCCCACAGCAACCAGGAGCATAGGAAAACACAATTCAGGGGAGGGCACACCTGTGGCCATACACTCCAGCGGCTTCCATCACATTGGATAAAAGCGTAAGAGCAATCAAAGTGGCCCAGGTCATCTGCCTCCCGCAACTTCTTGGGTCTCAACTGTTGGACTTGGCCCAAGCCTGCTCCAGTCCAGCTTCCTTGCTGTTCACACCAGCTCAGGGCTTTCACACTGTACTCCCTCTGCTTGGAATGTACTTCCCCAAGTATCTGCCTAGCTCCTTCCTTCCCCGTCCTGTGACTCAGAGCACAGCAGCCCACTGCCCAGTGGGGCTGTGGTTTTCTAGCCTATGACCCTCCCATCTCCATTTCCAGGTTCCTAACTCTTCTTTAATTACTTTTTTTTCTGACACATGATTTTACTCTTTGTTCACCTGGACATGAACTCTGTGAGACCAGGAATTGTAGCAGTTACTGCTAATATCATAGCAAACACTTGGTAAATGTTAGCTGAAGGGACAAATGCAAGTCTGAAGCTGACCTCCTGGTCCCTGGAGTCACCCAGAGCTGGATGACCTTGTAGAGCTTGGTCATCACCCTACTATCATTGTCCACTCAATCTGCTTTCCCTAGCTCCTTGGACTCCAGTCAATTTGGAGCAATGGTTAGAGGGTTGGCAGGTGTCAGCAGCTACTGTGAGACTGTTTTTCAGGTCCATCATTTTCAGCCTGCATTCTTTGGGCCACCACCTTATCTTATTTCAGCCTCTGTACAGGGACTATTCACACACCCTCAGGGAGGCACAGCCTGTCTCTTCCTACTTCTTAAACCAGCAGAGGCAACAGCGAAGAGCCATCTCGCTTCTGTCCAAGTGGGTAGACTTCAGGGCACAGCCGAGGAAGAGGCAGCTTTGAGACCAAGCAGGCCCAGGATGGTGGGAGGGAGGCTGGGACCAACATACTCGCCCATGTAGCCCTTGGAGGTGGAGTGGAAGGAGGCGAGCTCCACGTTGTTGGAATATTCAGGCCCCATCTCATAAAGCACCTTCTTAAAGGAGTGGAACTTGCAGTCCGGAGAGTACACGTTGTCCTGGTACACCTGCAGGGGAGGACATGACAGGGATAGTCACTGCTGAGTCCAGAGAGGCAGGTGGCTGCCGAGGGTGGCCAGGGGACAGAGCCTGGGGAGAGGGTTAGCCTGCAGTCAAGGTGTATATTGTGAGGCCTAGTTCTGCATGCACCAGCCAGTCTTTTCGCCTCCGGGGATGAGCCAGAACATACCTGAAGGAACATTCCAGAACAAACAAGGAGGATGGCCTCAGGTTGGACACTGAGCATCAATAGCTCAGGAGCTCAATTTCTCCCCATTCACTCTCAAGCTTCCTGTCTACCTCATCTGACCAGCAATTCCCCCAGGCCTTCCATCTTCTCAAGTAAAATGGCCCCTTAAAGTACCACATTTACTTTCTTTGACAACAAAGATAACAAGAGCAATTGATGCACCAGAGCTAGCTTGGTTGTTTCCTATACAACACTTAGTCTGGAAATGTTTTGGGTTTTCTTTGTCAGAGCAGCATATACACCAACTTTGTCCCTCCTTGTACCCAGTCTGGCAGGCAAACATGTGGCTCTGCCCACCCCCTGGCCTGGAATCAGGGTAAGCAGAAGCTTTCGCTGTGACTCGGTCTGGGACAAAGCCAGTACCATCGTTCAGACCCAAGGGCATGCCTGCACACAGGTCACAAAGAACACTTCAGATCTCTGCTACCCCTCCTCTCCTTTAAGAACTGAAGCTCCGGCCCTTTGACTATGAATTTCCGCAAGTCTGCTGGGAAAGCTGTGTGCATGTGGGGGTGGGAGGACACTAGGCAGGGAAGGCAGCAAGGCAATGTGCCAGAAGCAACAGTTAGCCAGAAAAAGACAAAATGAGATTTGAGGGAGACTCAATTTTTTTGCTTGCAGAGGCTGGCATCATGGCATGGTAGGTTAAGCCATTGCTTACAACTCTGGCATCTCATATGAGCACTGGTCCCAGTCCTAGCTGCTCCACTTCTGATCTGCTTCTCTAATGATGAACCTGTGGCCCAAGTAGTTGAGTCTCTGCCTCTTACATGGGAGACCCAGATGGTATTCCAGGTTCCTGTCTTGGGTGTGGTCCAGCCCTGGCTATTGCAGCCATACGGGGAGTGAACCAGTGGACGCAAGATTCTCTCTATAACTTTCAATTAAATAACAAAGTAAATCTGTAATTTTTTTTTCCTTGCTAAACAGGAAAACAATGGCTAGACCTGGGTTCAGAACCGGGTTTCAACTCCTCAGAGGATGTTGTGTGAATGAAATGAGATGACAGGCATGGAAGCAGCAGGAGGCTCAGAACTGCAGCTTTAGGGACCTGCCATTCACATTCCCTTCTTAGGTCAGAGCACCTTGGTCTCTCCTCAGGGAAAGGCATCCTCCTTTGGGTGGTTTGTGGACACTGGACACAAAGCAGAGATCTGGCTCTGGACCTGGCCAATTTGCATGATGCAAACTGCAGGCCACATTGACTAGTTCAACAGAGAGAGCAGGACTCAAGTTGAACCCATGAGGCTCAACTCTCAAAACTGTTGCTGGAACTCAGGATGAAGAGCCCCCTTTCTAGACTGGGAAGATAACAAGCCTGAGTAGGTAGCCAACAGAGATGGGAAAAGCGATGAATCTGGAAGATCCAGTCTGAGTCTCTCAATCAAGTCACACTTTATAATAATTATTTTTATTTTAAACTTAAAGTGATGTGGACTAAATTCTGAAATTTATAAAAATCTAAATCAATATAGGAAAAATTGAGGTCACTGAATATGCTCACCATTGGCCCAAATCCCTCTTTCTGGCTGCAGAAAATCAGGGCTAGACCCATCCCCCGAAGGATGCTCCCCCTCCCCTGGGACGGGGGGCTAGCACTGCTCTTACCTCATCGGCCAGGAGAAAGAGCTTCTCTTCCCAGGCAAAGTGAATCACTTCTTCTATGCACTTTCTGCTTTGTACCTGGCCTATAAAATCCCCAAGAAAACCAAAATGTACGTTGTAATGCCTTTTAGGTGGTCCCCTGGTCAGAATCCCACAGAGAATCCCACGGGTTCTCTCAAGAGCCCAAGAGTCACCCGCTCTTGTTGCTGTGCGTGGCAGCGGGCTCAGTCTCCAAGGACTCTGGTCTGGTTCCATCTGTTTCACTCACTTAAGTTGGTATATGGAGCAACATTTCACATTGAGCTTTCTTGTTATTCTCAAGACATGTGTGTGCATGTGTGCGCGTGCTGGAGTGCACAGAAACAACAGGAAAACAAAGCTCTGAGCTTAGGTGCTCCTCTGACTACACCTTAGCAGCCAATGATTGAGAGAACTGCACTGAATGTTCTGGTAGCTGGGTGGCATGACCAAACTTCCTCACCCGGGGAGCATGTATGAGTTCCATGAGTCAGACTCAGCAGGTGCTCAAGGAGTATCTGCAACATAACTGTCAAATGAGCGAGTCTGGGCACCAGCCATGGTGTCAGCTGTTGGCTGCTTCCGCGGTGGCAGGCCTTGCCTCAGACCCAGGTCGAGTATTCAAGCTTTCCTTGGTCTGATCTCCTTTCAAGACTCAACTCAACATTGACAGAGGAAACATCCATCCCTTGTTTTGGAGAAAACGCGTGCCAGGAGCAAGAGACTAACCCAGAAGTTCAATGGAGACAAGTGAAGAAAGGAACAAAGGCAACAATGCAGAAATGACCTCTGCCCGCTACTACCGGAGATCCACATTGAGTGTGGCTCTGGGACAGCCTGGTGTGTTCCCAGTAAACTCTGGGAAAGCAGCACTACAAGGCCAGTATGGACACGGGTATACAGGAAGCCACATACACTACTGAGGTGTATGGATACATACACACATGCTATTTTTATATGGACACATGCACACGTTACTTCCACGTAAACATATATCTTGATATAAAGGATGTAGAATATATAAATTTTATGAAAAGGGTGGGCATTTGATTACAAATGGCTAAGACATCACTTAAGATACCAGAACCCCCTACCAGAGTGCCCGAGTATGAGGCTCAGCTGCACTTTTTAAAATCCAGCTAATGCACATTCTGAGAGGCAACATGCTGGGGTCCATGCAGTGGATGTGGGAGACACGAAGGTGTGAAGAGTATTGTTCCATTGCAGGCAGGGCTGCAAGGAATTTCCCGCTGCATGGCAGGGCCCGCGGATGTCTCTACAACCACCTGAATGCAGCTCCACCTTCCTTTGCATGGACACCAGACCACCCTGTGGAAGAATTTTGTAATCCATTCAGGCATTGTTTGCTGCGGTGGAGTTGGCTTTTTACTATCAATGTGAACTTGGAGGTTAATGTCAATAATTTGCAAAAGGGCCTTTCATTATTCATGCTGTCTTGGCTGGCCCCATTGACCTTATGCTAATGAAGGGATCTGTGTTTAAGGTTTCATTCTTTCCTTGATCTTTAGGTTCTCCTTTTCTTTGTGATACAAGATTGAGTTGTAGAATAAGAATTGTAGTAGGAACTTCTATCGAGTTTTTAGGTGAAACAAATGGCAGAATTATTCTTGGATACACCCACTTGACCATGACGTCAAAAGTCTGCCAGAGTTTGTGAAGTTTTCTGTATAAATAAAGGGGACAACTTTCTTGCACTTGTCCATTATGACCATGAAATCGTAGTGGTCCATTTCTTTTCTATGCCTACTCCATGCACCCTTCTTAAGTTCTGAACTCGACTGAAGCTGAACTCCAGCAGCAACAGGTGACATGGTTCAATACCTGGGTCCCTACTTTCCATGTGGGAGTAGTCTGAGTTCTGGGCTCCTAGCATTGGCCAGGATCAGCCCCAGCTGCTGCAGGCATATGGGAATGAACCATCAATTGGAACACATTTCTCTCTCTTGCTACCCTTCAAATAGATAAAAACAAAAACTAAGATATGCATATTTTTATCTATGCAAGAATGTAGACATACACACCACACAGTATGTCTTCAAACAGTTCATGGAGAATGTACATTATAAAAAACTATACAGTTTTTTTGCATCAAAATAAATTTTAATTTTACTTCCCATGAATTTTTTAAAGCCCCCTCACACATGTCTCTTACAAGGGTATGACATGATTCAGCCAGGAGTCACGTCTAACCTAAGCAATAGATCAATTTCTCTCCTAAGAGACCAACTCCTAAGAGACTGTCGTGCAAGGACCAGGCAGGCTTCAAGCAAGCTCAGGTTCTGGGGCTCCATGGGGATGGCCAGTCCTGGTTTCTACAGGGAAACAGCAGCTGTTTCCATGGACAACTAGCAGGACAGACTGCCTGCAAATCCTCCTGGACTTGCCTTCTCATGCTTACATAATGCCAAATTATATTCTGTTAGGAGCAAGTTTTTGAGCACCAGAATAAGCCCTGTGCACTAAAAATGCTAAGGGGTCCATAAAGAAGAACCGAGTAGGACTAGAACCTCAAAAGCCTTTGGACCAATGGAGGAAATGAGACTTAACATAAGTAAATAATTTCACTGATGTGTATGATACAAACCTGAGGATAAGGACAGTGCTTATTTCTCCCCAGTGTCTGGGACAGAAAAGTCATGTAGAGGAGCAAATGCAGGGACCGTGTTGGAGAAGAAAGTCCCACGGCTTTAGCTGGGCCAGGTGCAGCTGTGCCCAACTCCAGCAGTCAGGAGCCAAAGGTTCTAAGTGCTTCACACCAAAAGCTAGACCAAAGCAATCTGTCACAAAGCGGCAGGAACACCTGCTGCATGTGCCTGCTGAACACTCTTCCCTTCTTAGAGCAACACGTCAGGTCTGTCCTGTAAGGAGCCCCAGGACCGGGCTCATCAGCATCACATTGACTTTACTAGTTCAGCAGCACACAGGTGACCTAACTGGCTGATCAGAGTCTGGCCTGGGACTGTGGGTACCACTACGGGAGAGGCTTTTCCTTTCCACTTGCTCAGCAGGTAGGCAATGGTTGAAGCAGGCCACTCCTATGGCACAGCCCAGGCCATTTTGGCACCTTACAGCCAAACGGGCCACAGCGTGTGGCACAAACAAGACACAGACACTTCACAGGTGGGTTTCTATTTGCCACCTCCTCTTTCCTGGGAGATGACGAACTGTCACACATTTAGGACCCTGGACTGTGCGCACGAATCAACAATAATAAAAATCAAAACTGCTTATTTGAATGCGCACTCACAAAGTGCTTTTACTTAGAACAGGGACATCTCTGGCAGTTTCTTGTTGCCAGACAGCTGGGGCGAGAGATTTCTATAAACATCCGATCGGGAAAGTACCGACTCCAATGCAAGCTGGATGAGTCTCTCCTGAATTCCTGTCGCACTTGTTATTTCAAGTGTGGTCCAGCATAATTATTACCCAGGAGCTTATTAGAAATGCAAATTTACAAGCCTGAGCACATCAAAAATCATGGGGCTGGGCCCTGGCAGTCTGTAATGTGACAGGCTACAATTGCAAGACCACTATCTTAGGCAGCAGTTCTCAGTCAGCCCCTGTGGCACAGAACAGATGCCCAGAGAAGAGTCAGGGGCTTTACATGGCCTCGAGAAGCTCTGGGGGGGTGCTCCCTTTGGCATCCCTTCCCTGATTGAGAACTAGTTCATCACTGTTAAGAGTCTTGGTCCCTTCCCCCGCGGAGGAGACGGGGTAAACAGACCAGGGTTACTGCCAGCTGCAGCCGTTTCAGCACTCAGGAATTCAAGTGGTGCCCTCAGCTGATTGAGGCATCATTTTGATGTTCCCGAGCAGCGGACTCCACAATCAGCTCCAACACGCTCTGGCCCCGACCCAGATTTGCTCAACAAAGGAGGCGCGAGGAGTACTTGTTCCCTGCGCCCAGAACAGCATCAGGCACAGAGGAACACCGCAGAGCTGTGCACTTTTTTTTTTTAAAGAACAATATGCAAAATGGGGCACCTTTCAATTTCTAGAAACAACAGCCTTTTTTTTTTTTTTTAAGCAGGCTGTATTTGCTTTTGTTTTAAGTATGGTATTTCTCAGGCCTCAAGCTACACAGAGGTGCTGTGTCAAAAAGCGAGGACAAGACACAACACATAAAAATGCACATACAAACATCCTGAACAAGCAGTTTAAAAAACAAATGGGAAGGAAGGTCAAACGAGGCCTCCAACGGATGCTGAATAATGTAAACAATCTCCAGGACAGTTGTCACCGACAGGACAGGAAAGAAAACACAAAACTGGTTCTCGTAATAGTACAACTCCACCCAAGCAAATGCCTCTATCTGTTCACCTCCGGAGGCAAATGGGATGGTTTTGTGTTAGCGGAACGGCAATAGGAAATTGGGGCATGGAGGACTGCATAGTATTGAACTCTGTAGTGCCCAGATGTATGCAACCCAAGAAACCAGCCAGGGAGCAAAGTACAGACCTGTGGGGTTCCCAGGGTTGATGATGCAGAGCACCTTGGGGTCACAGTGGTCTTTGGCCTCCCGAACTGCCCGCCGGAGCTCGTTCACGTTGAGGGCCCAGCAGTTCTCCTCGTCCAGGTAGTAGTTTACCTGGACGGCGCCGAGCTCAGAGATGACTGCCGAGTAGAGGGGGTACTGTGGGATGGGGATCATCACCCCCGTTCGGGACTTGCCACCCCCAGAGACGAGGATCTTCAGGGTTGTCTGCAATGGAAAAAGCACATCTAGGAGGCCCCTGCCACTTCCCACTCCTGGAAGCTGATGAGCAGACAAGCCCTAAGCCCAGGGTAACCTGTTGCAAGCACCTTCAGTGCCCCAAGTCTGTACCTCCTAGGGCTACTGGAAGGACAAAGCAAGAGTTCTGAGCTCAATGTGTGGCAGATAGTTACGACTCAGTACCTAGTGCATGTTCTCAGTACTTCTGAAACCGGAACTGGTCATGTTTCACAATCATTTTTGACTCAGCCCTGAAACCCTGACCTGGGGTGTCTGGGGTGTGGTCCAAGAATCTGTGCAGAAATGGGATAAAAATATTCATCTACTGCCACCAGATGGCGCTTCAACCTGTTTTCGGGGTTGGAGGGATTGCGGAGAGAAAACAAACCATGGAAATCCAGTGAGGTGTTTGTGGAAGTGGCAACAACTAAATTAGTAAGCCAAAACCCTCTGCAGACAGAGTCGCCACCTTACACATGGGGGTAAGCCTTTTCAGGCCCAGTTCCTTGCAACATGCAACTGTTTGGTTGTTTTCACGGAAGCATGTGGGCCCCTCCCTCCCTCCCCTGCTCCAGGGCCCTGGCCCCTGGTGGGCTTCTCTGAGACCCCCACAGCAGAGGCTAGAGCTGCAGCCCTAGTGCTGCAATTCCAAATGTCCTAAGAACTGACTGAAAGTGGTCAGATCACTTCATGCGGCTAGGCCCGTTTCCTTCCTCCTTCAACAAGTGCTGAATTCACTGGAAGGACTATGGGCAAGGAAACCAAACAGCAAACAACAACAGGAGAGAAGGCCCCGAGACAAAGCCAGCTCACTGCTCCCAGGCTAGGCAGAGCAGAGGAGCTGCCAGCTGGGAGGAACAGAGAATGGTGGCTATAAGACACCCAAGCTCAGCCTCCTCTGGCCAACTCACTACAGGAGCCCTGGGGCTGCATCTCCCGTGGGCCTAATTCCACATGGCCCCTCCAAGCTCTTCACACCCACCATACCCACTCCCAGCCAACACTTGAGAGCATCAATCCATGCTCCTCCCTTCACAGCCTTCCAGGGTTCTCCATTTCTCAAAACAGTGACCCTGAACGTGGCCTTGTGGGGGAGACCCCGCATCAGAACAGTGACCCAGAACGTGGCCTCCTTCACTGGACTCTTGGCTTCCACTCAGGCCTCTGCCAGTTCACCTGCTCCCTCCCCTTCTCGGCCTGCTCAGCCTCCCCAGAGAGGCATGCTGCCCCTGACCCCACCTTCCCTTCCTCTGCGGTTCCTTCCTGTGTACTCTGTCCTTTTCTGCAGAACAGAAAGTGCAAGCTGGTGCCATGAGGCTCACTTACGTGATCTCAATGCTGCTGTGTACCAGGGCTATGGTGGGGGAGGGCTCAAGGGCTGTTTCACACCCAGGGCTTCCCCAGTGTCTGGCATGCTGCCCGGCTCCAGGACCTGGAACCCTAGGGTGCCCCATGGTTCCTCTCTGTGTGTGAGGTATGCCCTGGGTGAAAACTGGGGCTGAAGATGTCACCTACTATGCCACTTTCTGGTCTAAGATCCTGCTGGCTTTGACTCAGAGCTGCCTGCTTGACCTGGATGTAAATCAGGGCTCTTCCGCCCATTGAAATCTACCTTCTTGCTGTGGACCCGGGCCTCTGCACGTCTTCATGTCCCCTTCCCATCAAACAGCAGAAATAGGCTGATGACTACTGTCTGAGGGGCGGAATCTCTTCAGACCCCCCACTCACAGTACCCCTCCCACTCCCTTTCCTCTGTTAATCCTGTTCTCAATACTTTTCTACCGCAACCAGTTGTCTCTTTGCCTTCCGGGAACATAAAGTGCTTAGAATTTAGCAATGAGGAGGCAAGGACTGTTGATTTCCAGGGCAGTGGCCATCCTTCTTCACCAGGCCTGGTCCTCTACCAGCCAGTTCTAATACATGGCCCCAATATGCAGGACGGTTCATGTGTGTGAGCCCTGGGTGATAACATGGGATGTCCCACGTACAGTAATGCCATCGCTAGCTCCAGTGGTCAGGTAGATGTTGTCTGGGTCTGCAGGGACACCGCCATCCCGCCTGGTGATGTAGGCAGCCACATCTTCACGGATGCAGTTGACACCCTGGCTGGCACTGTAAGACCCTGGAAGAAAACAAGCAAGATGGCAACCAGAGGCAGCAGGGAGTACTCAACACAACTCATGGAGGGAAGGAATGAATGGTAGGGTAGGGCTCTTGGGTGGGGTCCAACTCCCACTGTTCTGGACTCTGGAACTGTGACAAGATGCTTAACATTTGTCTGGGCCTCACCCATCCAGCCAGCCAATCATTTAACCATTGACTCAGTCATTCACTCCCCCAGTGTGTGTGCCTATTTTAAGTTTAGCATTATTCTAGGCCCTGGCTTCCAACAAGTCACATGGTGCTTACACCCATCTGTATGTTTTATGACAAAGGAAATCAGCAGAGAGGTTGTTAGGATGTCAGCATCCCGTGTAAGTGCCAATGCACTTCTGATCCTGTTCCTGTCAATGGCCTGGGAAAGGCAGGGGAAGATGGCCCGAATGGTTGGGCCCCTGTCACCCACAATGGAGACTCAGGGGTTCAGTCTGTCCCAATCCTAGCGGTCACAGCCACTTGGGCAGTGAACTAACAGATGGAACACCCTTACTTCTGACTTTAAATAAATCAATCTTCTCATTAGAACTGGGGTTCCCATGCTTTTATTGCGTTGCTATACATGCATGCTTCCACGGAATCTGATGCTGTAATAACTAAGAAAAGCATGTCAGAGGTGAACTTCAAGGCTTCATCTCCATATTTAATACTCCAGTTGGGGAGTAGAAATTTAGCCTAGTGACCATCTTGCATCCCACAGTATAGGAATGCCCGTTTCATCCCTGGCTTTGGCTCCTGACTGCAGCTTCCTGCCAAGGCAGATCCTGAAAGGTAGCAGAAATACATAGGTAACCGAGTCTCTGCCACTTCTGGACCAAGCTCCTGGCTCCCAGCTTCTACCCCAGCCCAGCCTTGGCTGCTATGGTCATTAGGGAGTGAAACAGCAGATCACAGTATGTTTACTCTCTCAGTCCGTCACATAATTAAATTATATATATATATATATTTGAAAAATAAATTTTAAAATCTCCCATGGTGGTGGGGTGTGGGGTGATGTTGTAAGCCACACCTATAACACCAGCATTGGATATGAGCGTGGGTTCTCAATTCTAATCCAACATCCTGCTGATGAGACTAGAAAAAAACAGAGGACAATGGCCCAAGTGCGTGGGCCCTGGTCACATCCGAGACCCAGATGGAGCTCTGGGCTCCTGGCTTCGGCCCGACCCAACCCTAGCTGTGGCTGCCATTTGTGCAGGGACTCAGCAGATGGAAGATCTCTCACTATCTCTCCCTCTTTCTCTGTCACTCTCCAGCAGGGTCGCTGCTAGCCAGTAGATGTAGGATGCTACGGTTGGAATAATTTTTAGAAAGTCTGAGCTGAACTCTGTTGTGGCACAACAGGTACAGCTATGACCCGTGACAGCAGCATCCCATATAGGAGCTGGTTTGAGTCTGAGCTGCTCTGTTTCCACTCCAGCTCCTTACTAAAACGCCTGGGAAAGCAGCAGAGATGGCCCTAATGCTTAGGCTCTTTTTTTTATTATTATTATTTTATTTTTATTGGAAAGGTGGATATACAGAGAGGAGGAGAGACAGAGAGATCTTCCATCTGATGGTTTACTCCCAGAGCGGCCGCAATGGCTGGAGCTGAGCCAATCCGAAGCCAGGAGCCTGGAGTCTCCCATGCAGGTGCAGGGTCTCAAGGTTCTGGGCTGTCCTCAACTGCTTTCTCAGGGCACAAGCTGGGAATTGGATGGGGAGTGGGACTGCCAGGATTAGAACCCGGCAACCATATGGGATCCCGGTGCTTTCAAGGCCAGGACTTTAACCGCTACGCTATAGCACTGGGATCCAGTGCTTAGGTTCTTAAACAAGGGAGGACCCCCCCCTCCCCCCCAAAGCTCCTGGCTCAACTGGTTGGGCCACTGCAGCCATGTGTGGGGTGAACTACCAGATGGAAGATTTTTCTCTGTCTCTCCCTCACTCTTTATGTAACTTACTTTCAATCAAATAAAAAAGAATTGTGTACAATTTAAAATATCTGTGTATTGATCCTCGACACCAATAAAAACCTCAATTAGGAAAAAATTAATTAATCAATGGAAGTATTTTAAATCCCACTTGGGTCAGAGTGACCCTAGGGCACCCCGACAGGTTCTATTTTCTATCTAATGAGCAGGAAAGTGCTCGAGTTGCCCAAAGCTTAGTAAACAGAGAGCAGCACCCCACCCCCCATGTCTTTGTTATTGGAAAAACCACACTGCCTCTCCTTCCAAGGTCAGGACCCGTAAGGGGGAGGGGCTTCGGCACACCTGTCAGTCTTCCTTGAAAACACCAGAGGGTGGTGGCTGTACAAAGTACTTCCAGGCTCAAAGAGTACCTTCTTCCACAGGTGCTCAAGTGGGAGTCAATTTTTCTCTATTATTTTTAAAAATTTTTATTGGAAAGGCGGATATACAGAGAGGAGAGACAGAGAGGAAGATCTTCTGTCTGATGATTCATTCCCCAAGTGAGCACAACGGCCGATGCTATGCCAGTCCGAAGCCAGGAGCCTCTTCCGGGTCTCCCACGTGGGTGCAGGGTCCTAAAGCCTTGGGCCGTCCTCGACTGCTTTCCCAGGCCACAGGCAGGGAGCTGGATGGGAACTGGGGCTGCTGGGATTAGAACCGGTGCCCATATGGGATCCCAGGCGTGCAAGGCGAGGACCTTAACCACTGTGCCACCGCTCTGGGCCCCAATTTTTCTCTATCTGTAATAACTGAGAGACTTCCATGGACACAACCTCCAAACCCCACAGGCCCAGCTCTGGCTAACAAACGCCTGTTGATGAGGCCTAGAGGGAGGCAGCCAGGTTTGGTCTTCTCCATTCCTTTCTGTAGGCATCTCGCACCTCATCACCGCTCCTGCATCTGGCTTCCGGGACTTTTAGGCCCTCAGCCATGAGAGACACCTTTGACCACTACAACAGGCAGAGGATACAGGAAGCGAGGAGCCCGATGGCCAGGCCTCTTGCCATGGGCTGCCTCTTACCAGCCTGTGCTTTAGATCCGGGACCATAAGACCCTGACCCCAAAGCAATCTAGTCTGGCAGGCAGGAAAGCAAGGGACTGCCCTTCCCCAGATGGACTTGACCTGTGAGCAGCGACTTGGAATCTCAGCCTCTGAAGACTGATGAGACACCCATCATTTTACACCTGTTGCTGCTTTAAATAGTTGCTTCCCTTAGGGTTCAGTTCCCCTGATTTTTGGATTGTTTCATTCCTGTAAAGTCTCCCGCTATTCAGTACCCAGTTTGTACCTGACAGGCTACGCACCAATCCCCTTGGTTTTTACTCCCAATACCCCTATGTTCTCTTTGGATTTCTCTCTCTCTTCCTCTCCAGGTGCTTGCGGCCCTCTCCTTTGCTGGGGTCCCCTGGAGTCCCCCTCCTACCACTATGGCAGGAGTCCCCCCCGCCTCCCGCTCTTCCTCAATCTCTGCCCCCTTTCCTGCCTTTGCCCCCTTCCACATGCACGAGGTCTCCCTCTACACCTAATAAAAAAATCTCCTGTGTGGCATCTGGGGTCTTGAGTAAATGGTGAAAATTCCTAACATGACCAGGACAGTGCAGACTTGGAGAAGGGGTGTGTGTGTGTGTGTGTGTGTGTGTTACGGGCTACAACCCAAAATTCAAGCACATGGCTCTCAAAGGAGAAACAGCACAACAAGGTAGCGGGAGTCAGGAAGATGACCGAAACCATGGTGTGTGTGTGTGTGTGTGTGTGTGTGTGTCGGGGTGGGGGTGTGGGGGGTCTGACCCCCCTGTTGAGCAAGTCACAGCACTCCCCATCTCATTTGCCATCTCACTCTCTGGTGGCATGCCCTGGGATCCCAGCGCATGCTCTAAGAATAAGTAGCTTCCTCGGGGCAACAGAAGTGGATTCCCTGCATAGATGCCGAGTAGAGGAAATGGAGAGAAACAGGGCAGAAAATGAGATGAGAACAAAAAGCCAGAGTAGGAAATCCATCGGAGCAGGGATGGGAGAGTGAGGATCATTTTCACATGGAGAGGGGGCACATTCCAGGGCCGCCTTCCCGCAGAGCTCTTGCCTGCTGGCCATTCCATCAGGAGGCGGACAGCTGGGTGTGGGCTCCCAACAAAGGAAAGGCCAGGGAACAGGAGGAGCAGCTGACACAGTCGGCATGAAGGAGGCCACAGAAACAGGGCCAGAAGGCTCCCGAGGCACTTCTCCCCAGCCATCAAAACACGGGGATGTGTCCAGAGTGGCGGGGACACTGAGCACTACGGCCCCTTGGTCCCTTGTTGCCGAGACTGACCACTGGGTCAAATCTGCTTGGAAAGCTCAAAATCTGTTGAAACTGGTTCCCAGACATAAAACCCCAAATCCAGTAAAATGCAGGTACCAGCATCTGAGACCAAAAGTACCGAGAGGTGGAATGCTACTGGGGCCCGTGCTGTGATGCGGGGGAGGGTAGGAGGCATAAAAGCCACTGCCTTGGTGACCAGCAGGTCGGGGTCACTGCTCCACTTCCGATTTAGCTCTCTGCTAACGTGTCTGGGAGAGCAGCAGAGAATGGCCCTTGGGGCCTTGCACCCACGTGGGAGACCCTAAAGAAGCTCCTGGCTCCTGGCTTTGGACTGGCTCAGATGCAGCCACTGCAGCCAACTAGAGGAGTGAATCAATGAGTGGAAGATTGCTCTCACTCTATAACTCTTTCAAATTTTTTTTTTTTTTGGTAAAGAGGAAATGTTATTTTTCCTTTACTCTGTGCGCCAACCATTCCATACACATTCACACAGTCACAAACGGACACACATGGAAGGACTGGGGCCCAGAGCTGTGTTGGAAATACACACTCATTCCATGCTCCTGGGGACCCGGCCCGTTGAAGCCTCACCCAGGCTGTTCCCGCCACAAGCCTGTAGGATCCTCCGGGCTCGTTTCTTAGCATCTTCTGGAAAGTTGGGACTGTCCAACAGGTTTGGGTAGGTGCAGAGTGCCATCACCTGGGGGAACAAAGGTCAGGCTGGGCTCCCAGTACCTCTGCCCCAGCACCCCACGTTGGACACGAGGGACACTGGGCAGAGGACAGTGGGTCTCTCTACAAACAGCTCGGCCTTTGGGAGCTCGAGTGGGTTCTCTGCAGCATGGCAGGGGTGGCTGCTGGGAGCTAGGGTGCACCATAACCTGCACTCGAGGGTCCAGAAGGGGCTCCTCCGGAGAAATCAAGTGAGGCTTGCTGCTGAGCCCCTGGCTCTGACTGGCCCATGAAGGACAGTGAGCTCCCACATACCAGGCCATAAAAACCAGGGGTCTTCTGAGAAAGAGGCCAGAGCTGGGCAGGCAGGTGAAGTCCAACTGACAGGAATAAGGCTGCAAAGAAAGGTCCCCTCCCAACTCATAGCCTGAGCATCCCCACACCCTGTGTTCCTCCTTTGTCATCTGTAAACCAAGCCAGCTTTCTCAACTCTATTATAGATAGAATCACCCAAACCTCACAAATTAAAAGCATTAAACCAGGAAAGGTGTGCAAAGGTGCTGGTTAACCCCAGCTCACCAGGCAAGCCTAAGCTGGCAGCTCAGCACCTGAGCCAGGTGCACTGGGGCTGACAATGAGGGCTCATGGCTCTGCTACCAGCCAGGTGCCTTCAGTCCATGCCTGGGTTCTTGGAGTGGGCATGATATATGCCCTGACCTAGCTTGTTCCCCTCCCCACAAGGTGTACTAATAAAGACCAGAGAAGTACATGAAGGCTACAGGAGGCACTGGCCCTGCCATCATCAGATTCAGGGATAGGATCTGGGGACCTGCCTATTAGTCGGGCAAGGCCGGGGCTATGCATGACCCAAGACCCTCTCCTACCAAGTGTGTGCTTCTAGCACAATCAGGGCCTCCGATGTCCTCCTGCTCCACCTCCTTGGAAACAGTCACTCTGATCCATTTCTACACTCACAGGCAGCTGGCATGCTCTGAGGGTCAACAGTGGTGGCCACAGGAGGGAATGATACGGTGGTCCCCATTACCCACAGGGGCTTCAAGTTGAGACCCCAGCTCCCCACTACTCCACGGCACAGGACAAGGTCAAACTTCCTTTGTACCATCCCCAGAGTCAGAGACTTGGGCAAAGAAAATCAAAACAGGTGCCTAGCATTCAACATCATTGCATCCTAATGGGTGCCTAGCATTCAACATCATTGCCCATCCCAATGGGTGAACCTTAACCACACAGAACAAGCTTCCACACTGCTGGGATGCCTGCCTTTGTTCAGCTTGCCTCATTTCATTCCCTCACCCTGCTTTTCCCTCTCAGGCCCACCAATCCCAGTTCTAATGCAACATCCTTCAGGTTGTTGTTACACTAAAACACTGAACCATGCCTCCACCTGAAGGATGAGCAGTGAGCTGAACGAACCACACTCGGAGCAGCAGCTGATGGCAGCAGAGCCCCGGACTCTCCTCTGGATAAGGGGGAAGGCTACCATACTCATCCTCTCAAGGTGACCCCAGAAGCCCTTTGGGGCACATTCTGGTGAGCTCCACACGCCCAAGGCTGCTTGTTTAGTAAGGGACACAGCCAACACCCAAATTCGGGGTGTCTCATTTGGAAGCTCTAGCTCAACCCACCAAATCACTTCGCCTTCTTCCTGTCTCCTACCCAGCTGTCCACCCCACTGCTGTTCTTGCCCACTGAGCCTCTACTACTCAATATCCAGGATCATGCACCTTCCTGGAAGCTTCCTACCCCAAAGTAATCCCAAAACGAGTGTAGGATTCTGAATAACCTTAGAAGGCGAGAAGATTAAGTTGGAGCACCAGCAAACATTGATAATAAGAGCTGCAAGTCAACAGCACATCCCCGTAGGATGCTGGTGCCTTCTGGGTCCTGAGGGGATTAGATAGACAAACAGGCTGACTCACCTGTCGGAGGAAGGTGATTGGCTGCTGGCCCATGGCCTGGGCATCCCCAATGTTGGCTCGGATGACCTCAGTGAAGGGTTTTTTGATACCCTGAGTGGAGAGAAGGCAACAGGTGGTTACTTAGACATTCATACACTGGATTCCGGAGGCCAAGCCATGCACCCAGAGGATATTAATAAGCAGCCCTATTTTGAGCCTTACCGAGTGTGAGACATGACATGCCTGGTCCCATTTAACCTTCGCAACCACCACAACAAGGTAGAACTAGTATTAATTTAATTACACAGACAGACATCCAAGGGCATGTCACCGATCATGTCACCGGGATGAACCCAGGAAGCCAGACTCCAAGATCTCTTAATCACTATGTCCCACTGCCAGAAAGTTCCCACTTTCCAGAAAGGCTGTAAAGCTTTCCTGGGCAACCAGAGCAGTCTGAGGTGCCTGCAGGCCCTCAGAGGGAGGCTTCGGGCAAACAGTATCTGCACAGAAGATGCCAAACATTTGGGAGAGGGGACCCCAGACTCTCTATACCCACACCCCAAGCACGGCCAAGGGCACTGAGGACTCCTTCACTTCCAGAAAACACTGATCAGCAGGGAATTCTTAGGGTTATTCCCATACAACCCTGGCTCTGCACAATGATGAATGGGAACTGATTGTCCTATTAAAAAAAGAAAACTCTAGCAACAAAGAGATGGGTTGAAGAGCAAAATGGAGGCCACTCCTGAGCAATGAGCTTAACCCAGAAAGGAGAGCAGAGAGACTCAAGAGATGCCTGTGACATCACTAGGTGGAGACAGGCACACCCCAGCTACAGCAAAGGTGAAAATGAAGTTTGACATACGGAACTGCAGGGACTTGGCAAACACAGAATTCCACCCAGCTGCCTGATAAACGCAACAACTAGCCCTGGAAGACTTGGAATCAACAACAGGTTCAAGGACCTCCTAGGGTGGCTGACGGGATAATCTGAAATAAACAGTGTGAAAGCACTTGGCAGAGTACAAATATCATCCTCTCACAAATCCAGCCCGAGGGTCACGGCAGAGGAAGCGGGGGTAGGGCACTGAGGTGGCAATGCCAGGCGGCAACCTGAGCAGGACCGCCTGGCCACCTCCCACCTTCAGCTGCCCTTGGCCTGAAGGCACCCCAAACACAAACGTTAGAGATGCACGTCTATGGTTTCGACACTTAGTTTTTTTCCCCTCCATTTCATGCCATGCACAAATTAAAAACAAGTTCAGAAACCTTCGTTTTTTTAGTAATCAGTGGGCTTGGAAAATAAGTTTTTCTAACTCTTTCTTATCACCCTTGAGTCCTAAGTAATAAGGCATGGAGATATGGGGGCAAGGAGCCTCTAAGAGCTCTGTGTGGCAGGGAGGAACACTTTAAATCCCTTGTGTCTCTTCTCTCTCTTTCTCTCTCCAAAGATCATTTATTTTTATTGGAAAGGCAGACCTGCGGAGAGGAGAAACAAAGATACTCCATCCACTGGACCACTCCCCAAATGGCCTCAATGACCAGAGCTAAGCTGATACAAAACCAGGAGCCAGGAGCTTCTTCCAGGTATCCCAGGCTAGTGCAGGGTTCCAAGGATTTGGGACCAACCTCCACTGCCCTCCCAGGCCAAAGGCAGGGAGCTGGATGGGAAGTGGGGTAGTTAGGACATGAACTGGCATCCTTATGGGATCCTGGCACTTGGAGGTGGAAGATTAGTCAACTGAGCCATCGCACTGGGCTTTCCATTGATTTCTTCAGAGATGGGCAAACACGGAGAACTATGCCCAGGGCTTCAGAATTAGCAGGCGTGTGTGGAGGACAGGTAAGTAGCAGCATCCATTCACTGCCCCTGAGCACGGCTGAGGCTGAGAGCAGACAACCCTGGGAGGCTTGGGCTGTGGGTCTGTAGCCTCTTCTGGCTGGCAACACAGGAAGGAGCCAAGAAGGCTGTGGGTGGGGTAGAAACCCAAGCCATTCTCTACAAAAAGGCAGGCTCAGCCCACCCCATAACCTCCTCACCCCTGGCAGTAGCCTAGCTCCTGGTGTGAGACACTCTGCCAGCTTAACTGAACTGCCTCAACCCCCAGGCCTGATTAGCTGACCATGTCTGCGGTACAGGCACAACTTATTCTTTAGTGGGGAATAAATCTGTCACAGTTGGGAAGGCCAGGAACCAACACACAGCTGCGGGCCCCAGGCCAGCCCAACACAGGAAGAGAATAATGCCTAGATTGGAGCCCCAAAGTTCCTTTCCCGTGCCCTCGCCTGGCATTGCCCAACCAATTCAGAGTCTGCTGACATGGAGCCTGGAAACACTGCAAATCTCCCTTCCTGGGCCTGGGTGCCCGAGGACACTAGACACTTTGCTTTGATGGATGAACTAGGGGACAGGAAACTGGGCAAGGGCCCCAGCATGCCCAGCCAAGAGCCACCACACAGAAGAGATTGTTCTGTGCAGATTCTTGTGTCTGGCCACTCAAAGTCCACAGGGATTGGGAAAGACCAAGGAGCCTGAGGCAGACTCTTGCACACAGTGACTCGTCCAGGCCTGATTGGTCCACCCAATGGTGACATCGCCCAGCCCAGCCAAAGGGCCAGGTCACAGGGCCTCACAGACACATAACTCATACACGTAGGAGCTGCTCTGCGTGCAGCACTGAGGACACTCCCACCCTGGGGGGGACTCACTTCCCACCACTTCGGTTCAGGCAGGTGTCAGGGGAGAAGACCCTAGGCTTTGGGAATGGTCTATTTCAAAGAGTATTACCAGTATTGTCTTTCCCTGCCCACAGCACCAGCCTCATGGTGCCAGTGGATGATTCTAACAGGTCCAAGGAAAGGACAGCGAAGGAAAATAATAAAAGAAAAGGCAACCTATAGGACGGGAGTATCTGTAAACTGTTACCTGACAAGGAGCTACCATCCAAAATACACAAAGAGTTCCAACTCAAAACCAAAAAAAAATAAAAGACTAAATAAATAAATAATAAAAACCCAGTTCTAAAATGAGCAAAGGACCTGAATAGCAAATAGATACACAAAAAGTAGATTCAAAATTACTAATCAAATGCAAATCTAAACCACAATGAAATATGCTTTAACCTGGATTAGGACACCTACTAATCCAAAAGCTTTTTTTTTTTTTTTTTTTTAAGATCTATTCATTTTTATTGGAAAGACACATATACAGAGAGAAGGAAAGACAGAGAGGAAGATCTTCCAACTGCTGGTTCACTTCTCAAGTGGCTGCAACAGCTGGAGTTGAACTAATCTGAAAACAGGAGCCTCTTCTGGGTCTCCCATGCGCGTGCAGGGTCCCAAGGCTTTGGGCCATCCTCTACTGCTTTCCTAGGCCACAAGCAGGGAGCTGGATGGGAAGCAGAGCAGCAGGGACATGAAACAGCACCCATACGGGACCCTGTTGCATTCAGGGTGAGGATTTAGCCACCAAGCCATTGTGCCAGGCCCCAAATGTTAAAAGATAATTACTGGTGAGGGTATCCAGTAAGATTGGTGAAACTGCAAATTAGAACATTCATTATGGAAAACAATATGGAGGTTGCTTGACTCAATGCAACTTGCAAGTACACATCTGAAGGAAATTAAATCAGTAACTTAAAATACCTGCACTTCATGTTCATTGCAGTAGTATTCAAAATTGCCTACATAAGAATCAACCTAAGGGGGCAATGATGGTAGCTTTCCAACCTAACCTTCATCACATATGGTTCAACGCCCAGCTGCTCCACTTCCCATCCAGCTCCCTTCCTAAGGCATGAGAATGCAGCAAAGGATGGCTCAAATCCTTGGACCCCTGCACCCATGTGGGACACCTGGAGGAGGCTCAAGGCTCCTGGCCCCAGGCTTCAGGTTGGCTCAGCTCTGGCCACTGTGGCCATTTGGGAAGTTAACCAGCAGATGGAACATGTCTCTTTCCTTTCTCTGTAAATCTGCTTCTCAAATAAAATAAGTCTTTAAAAAAAAATCAACAGAAGTTTTACCAACAGATAATGGATACAGAAATATAATGTGGATGTCACACACAGTGAAATATTACTTTGCCACAAAAAGGGCTACTTGATACAACATGTGGAGGATATTTTGCTAAGAGCGATACCGAAAGACAAATACTGTCTGATACCATACATAGAAAAAGGGACTAGAAAAAGTCTGAACTCACAGAAGGGCAGAAACAGACAGGGGTTACCAGGAGCTGGGAGATGGGGTAGACAGGGCAATTCGGGCCAAAGCTTCCGTTGTAAGCGGTGGGATCAAATGGTGGCTTGGTAGCACCTTCTCTTCTCACTCACTTGAAATATGTAAGGGAGTAATTCTTAACCCCCTTACCTTGTGTACACACACACACACACACACAAGCAGGCAACTGCATGTAGTGATGGATCTATAGATTAACCTGTCATCTGTTTACAACACCAAACTATCAAGTTGTATACCTTGACTATATACATACTTTTCCTTTCTTTCTTTCAACCACACTTCCATAAAGCTGGGAGTAAAATAAAACAGGCCCAATAGTTTCCTTGTGCAGCAGGTGGCTCTCATCATTTCACGTAACATCTAGGTGGGGACTAGGTAGGATGGGTACTCCCCAGAGAGCCTCCCTCTTGTTTAATGACTCTCGATCATGCATGCCCAGGGCCAGGAGCAAGCAGTACAGATGAAGGTGTCACTCTACAGAGTCCAGGCTAGTGAAGAACAGGAAGCAGGCAAGGGAAGGGTTTGGGCAGGGGTGAGAGAGAAGGGCCAGGCCCCAGAAACCTCGTGTGAGAAGAAAAGCTCTCAACCTCCTGAGCCCCAAATGGGAGACGGTGGGCACTGTGGCAGGTGGGTGGTCATACACAGAGCTCCAGAGAGAGACGGAACCTAGCTGAACTCCAGCATCCCTAAAACCAGGAATATGCAAACACAGCACCGGACCTGCTCCAGATGGGAAGAAACCATAGCATTGACTGGACAATGAGGCAAGGGTTCCTACTGAAGCAGGAATGCAGAGCACGGACCTTGAACTCTCGGGAGAGGCGCCATGAGTTACCCCCGCTGAAGCTGAGCGGACACAAAGAACTCCAAACAGGGTTATCACAAGAGCAAGGCCAAGTCTCGGGAGGGAGAAGCCAGTCCCACACTCAAGAAGGCAGGGGAACATGGGCCCTTAGCACTGCCTCCCCCCAAACAACTCTTGGTAGTTTGCTATTCTAATCGATTCTTTGCCGTTCAAAATGTTCTCACTGATGTCTCCCCAACTCATCTTAGGAGAAACACATCGGCCTCATCTTGAAGAGCAAACCAAGGGCAACAGCCTGAGGCCTGGTGCACACAAGGGCAGAAGGTGGAGATCCAGTGATTTGGGCAGGTAAAGGGCTTATCTTACTGGATGCCTTCAGAAACTGTTCTCAGGTATGTGTGGGCTGGGTGTTTAAGCCTAGCAATTAAAATGCCTACACCAGAATGCCTGCGTTTAGTTCCTGATTCTGGCTCTTGATTCCAACTTTCTGCTACTGTGGGACCTAAGAGGCAGCAGTAACAGCTCAGATAATTAGATTCCTGCCTCCTTTGTGGGAGACCTGGTTAAGTTCCCAGCTGCCACCTTCAGCCCCATCCCCAAACGGCCCTATCACTCCACACCCTGCTCTGCCCTGGGACTGGGACTACAAACTGGCCAAACTGGCCACATCTGGGGAAGGAACCACTGGGTGAGAGCCCATTTTTTTTTTTTCTGTCTCAGCACCCAACTCTATAGAAGCTGAGTGAGGTTTCAACAGCACCTGAGCTTGGCACCTCTGGGGTCACACCAACCTTAGCTCTTTGTTGACTATAGTCAAGTGCTCTGTGCCTGCCTGTGTTTGGATGTCACACATGCTGATGTCACCACACAGATAGCTTTTTGAATGTTTTACCTTGACTGTGTGTGCTTTTTTTCTTTCAAGTTTATTTGAAGATAGAATTGGGGACATGGGTGGGTAAGGGATGAGAAAAAAAGAGTCAGGAGATGAGACGGAAGGAAGAGGGTGCACTGGAGTGGAGGGGATGGGAGAGAAAGCTTCCTTATGCTGATTCACTACCCAAATGATCACATCAGCTAGGGCTGGGTCAGGCTGAAGTCAGAAGCTTCATCTGTCTCCCACATGAGTGGCAGAGGCCCAAGTACTCCATCCACCACTGCCTTTCCCAGGCCATTAGCAGGGAGCTGAATTGAGAGTAGAACATCTGGGACACGAACCAGCTGGGATGCTGGTGTCACAGGGCGTGGTTTAACCTGCTGTGCCACAATTAACCATGTGTAACTTTTATAAGCGGAAGAAGTGAAGCCATTCCTGTGTCTACCTGTGCCAACCCCCAACCCCTACGCCTCCATAAAGGGAAGTTAAAAAAAGCTGAGGAAGAACTGTCAGATCTTTTCAATTCAATACTCCTTTTAATTATAGCTTAGTGCTTAAGTGCAGCTCCCAATGAGAAGCCAAAGCAGGTTCTCTGCCTGACAGCTGCTAGAGAAACAGGGCCGCCCTGAGAGTGCACAGCCGGGCCTGGAGGAGAATGGCCCCTTTCACGATCCTCGGTCACTCCCCCTCCTCCTTCAGGCTCAGGCAGTCCTGTCTGAGAAGCAAAAAGGACAAGGACTCACTCATGCTAGCCGCCCCAAAGTCCACCACTGCAGCCGTGTGTCAAGCCAAACAGCCTGGGTTTGTACAACGCCTGGTAAAACGGTTCTTCAAGGCAGCGCAAAGGCCCTCGTACTACCATCAGGGCTATTTTGAGTCCCCCAAGACAAGGAGATACAAAACTTAGGGCAGGAGGAACCATGGATCAATCAGGCCACTTCTCTCCTTTTACAAATAATGGAATCTGAAAGGCCAGGAGCTAATATAGGATTTGCCTAAAGTCTACACATCCTTGTCTAACCAAAGCAAACCTCTTGTAACCTCAATCCCATGTTAGTCACCAAAGTTCAACAGAGGTAGATACACCAATGACAGGCAAAGCCAAAGCAAGCCAATAAACACACAAATACCAAGATATGCTTGGGAAAACACAGCCGTCTCAGAGGCGCCATTGTTTGAGCCGCCCAAGGGAAGAGCAGCTTTCTCCAAAGCATGCAATGTCTAAGTGAGGCGATGCTGGCTTGGCCACGTTTGGAGCTCCAGCACTTAAATGGCTACATAACTGAGATTCAATTAAGTGAAAAAAGAATGGGCCTGAACGGGCGCACCCAACAATGTCGGCGCACAGAAAGAACTTTCTCAACAAATGCTAGGTTACGCAGGAGGATCAGGGAACGCTGGGTCCAATGACCAAATATGACCACCTGTGAGCCACATCTCTGCTGGAAACCCTCCTGGCTCCTACTTCCCTTCAAAACACAGCATCAAATCCTGGGTCCAGCACCTAAACACCACCTACTAAACATCATCAACTCCCTTCCCCAAACACCCAGAACTTGGAAAGCTCCGGTCTTTGCTCACAGCACCCTTTCCATTTAGAACATCCTCATGCTTGCTCTGCCTGTTAAAATGGCCCACCAATCCTTCATGAACTGGCGGAGGGAGGTTTAAGTCCAGCCAGGCAGCAACATGGCAATCAGCTCCCTGGAAGCAAAGGAAGTGCCCCATTGTGCTCATCTTTCACAGCACCAACACAGACACTGCTTGTTAGCAAAAGGTGGAGATCCTTTGAATCAACTGTAACGTGATAAACCCCAATACTGGGATCCCAACTTTGTGTTAACTGACAGATCACTGCCTCAAGGGGAGGCCAGCTGCTGCCTGCCACATACCAGCAAGGGGCACTGCAGGAAAGACCCATGTTCCCTGCCCAGGGCCCATTTCCCCAAAGCACAGAGGCACAGAAGCCGATTTGGTGCTCTCTGGCCCAGGCTTTAAACTTAGCCCGTAGTCGGCAGAAGACACTGGACTCTGACTCGTCCAGCTCACTGTCTTGAGTCAGCAGAACTAGATGTCCCCATGACGTCTTAGCAAGCCAGGAGCTCATCCAACGTCCCAAGTCCCCATGTGAACGGGCACTAAGGGTCATGATCCCTTCTAGGCTACCTCCCAGTATTCAAGGGACACTAAGTGACCACCTCACCCCTGGGACACTGGGCTGGAAAGTGGTGCCTCTGAGAAAAAGCTCCAGGAGTCCTCCCCCCCATGCCAGGCATTCTGGGTCAACCCTATATTGAGAAAGCCACTGAGCGACTGTTTCATGAGTTTTTTTTTCCCCCCTCAATTCTTAGGAGTGTTTCCTTTCCTAGATAACGTTTTGGGGTTTTGTTTTTATTCTGCCTCCGTAACTCCATCCAGGGGAGAATCCCGCATCCTACAAGGCTACCTTTTACACCCAGCCCTGCCTGGTCCTGCGGTCACTTCACTGGCAGTTGTGAACAGAAGCCAAGATCCCAGCCAAATTCCAACTTGAACAGTGTCCTGGGGGGGGTTGTCACCTTATCAAATCCCCAAGAACACCCCGCCCTTCAACTTCCCCCCAGCAGCGACTGTCCTCAGGCATAGAGACTGCAGCCGGCCAAGGTTCCTGGGGCGGAGATGGGGGGCAGGGGTGTCCCGCCTCACGCCCCCACTCTCCTCGGGAACAAACTGCTCTGAGCCTGCCTGCCTCCCTCCCACCAGTGCGCCTGGCTTTGGCTGGCTTTCTTCAAAGAATGTGTTCACTCAGAATCGCATTCCCGGATCGTTGCCCTCACTCCCGGTGAATCCTGCTTCCACACTGCTTAGGACACGTAACGAACGTGTGCAGCTCCTGGCAGTTCGGGCCGTTCCATTATTGAATTCAGCTCAACAAGTGAACCGTGTTGGAAGGCCTTACTGAGTGCCAGGTGTCCGGCATTCATGGGTGAAGCGAGGGAATGCTGAATGCGGGTGCCGGCCATGGGGTGGGAGGGGTGCACGTGCCAGGGGTCGTCGCCGCGCTTCTCTGGACGCCCCCTCTCTAGCTCTCGGGCCATCCGCCCCCACGGACCCCAGCGCCCGCGCTCACCCGCTGCAGCTCCAGCTCGATCTCGCCCGCCTTGAGCACGATGGGGCCCCGCACCGCGTACTCCACCGCCTTCACTTGCGGGTTCATGGACTCTAGGGTGAGGATGCGCTCGCGCCTGCTGCGCTCGGGCCGCACCTTGAGCACCGCCGAGGCCTCAGCGGCCGCGCTGCTTTGACTCCGCCGGCCCCAGGGGCCCGGGGTCCGGGGGCAGCAGCCCCGCCGGACCAGCGCTGCAGCCCGCTGCATCGCGCGCCTGCCGAGGGAAATCCTGGCACAAAAAGAAAAAAGACAGCACGTCGTGCACAGCCCGAGGCAGACACCTTTATGCCAATCCCGGCCCAGCCCAGGGCTCTCTCAGCGAGAGGTGCCAGCCCGGCTTTAGGGTTCGGTACCCATCTCTCCACCAGCACCCTCCACCGCGACACGGCTGCGCGCCAAAGGCAGCTGCACCGCTGGGTTAGCAAAGGCTGCGTCCAGTAGGTGCATGGAACGTGCCTGTGGCCGCCTGGCAGCCCCTCACAACCAGGGGCTAGAGCTCGCGCCTGCAGCGTCTGTTCCGCTCTGGAGTCCGCAGCCGCATCCCTGCGCTCTGCGCCCGCACCGCCTGGCCCCTGCGCCCGCACACCCACCGCCACCGAGTCCGCCTCGACCTGCGCGCTGGCCTCTGGGCTTTGTAGTTCTTCCGGCCATTTTTGGAGCCGCTGTTGCGAGTCGGTTGAACTACAAATCCCACAATGCCCCGCGGGGCTGGGCAGGAGGCGGGAGCGGTCGTTGGCTTCTGTCAGGAGCTGGGCGGGCTCTTTGTCCTCGCCTGGGGGACAGGCGGGGGCGGGGGTGGTGGTGGAGGCCGGACAGGAGTGGTGGTCTGTTCCACTTTTGAGAATTCAGAGCCGATTTACAGCTTCGCTCTGGAGGCGTGTCCCGCCCCAGCAGCCAACATCTACAAGGACACGAGCTGTGGGATGGTGCAGTCTTCTCTCAGAGTTTCATCATCCAGGGCCCCACGCTGCTCCCCGGCCCTCACTGGAGGTTGGTAGGAAGTGGAGGTTAGGTGTCTGACTTTGATTGTGCCAGTCTGGCCCCTTGTGAACGTCGTTGCCTTCATAGCCACAGGGGGAACTGCCCACAGTCTCTAAGGGTGCTGGGAACATTAAGGGAGCAGGTGGGCAGGCACTGCTTGACCAGTCTGAAGTCCTCTGCCACCTCCATCGCATCCGCTTTTTTTTTTTTTTAATGTATAGTTGTGCTGTCAGGATACTCTTCACTCCCTCCTCCATTAATGTCCTGAAGGACAGTATTTTTCTTCTTCACAAATCCACAGTGCCTTGGAGGCACTCAGTAAATACCAGTAAATATTTGTTAAGGAAGGCAGGCAATTATTATTTGGCCAAAGTGTATCCCGACAAAACCCTTTCTGACTCACTCAGAGCCAGTGCAGGGCAAGGCTTGGTATGGCACAGGCAGTGCGAAGAGTGGCCACAAGCAGAGGCTTGATGTAAGAGGGACACCACCAATTGGGATGGGGGGGCATTCGCTCCTCCTGGCCTCGGATTCTCCATCTGCAAAACCCCCCTCAGATCCCTTCCTGTCTTGGGAATTCTGGAAGTCTAGGTATTTTCGGGCTGAAAAACAGTCCGGAGTTCCTACTTCACAACAAAAACCATGTACACATTTGTGCGAGTCAGGAGCTCCAGGTTTTAATACGGTTGCATCCAGCCACTGTTTACCTAAAGCCTGTGTAAACCTAGTTTCCTCGTGTAAAATGGAGCTAGGCACACCTGCTTCGGGCACTATGCAGAAAGCTCAGGGTGGTAACAGTGTACAAGCCAAAGCTTAGAACTGAAGGCTGTGGTTTACTCTCGGTCATTCTTGTCAAGAGAATGCCGTACGCTTTGATTAACCAGGTTGCAGGGAAAGGGGCAGAAGGAGAAAAGGCTGGGGCAGACAGCAGAACCAGACATAGCTCTGATGCTTCTGTGTTAGCAAACCAGTCTACTGAGAGCCCTGGAAAGTTATTTGAGTTTCTAGTCTGTTGATTCCACCCTCAGCACCTGTGTCTACACTAGCTCCTTCTCAGCCTCCATCTCTCTGGCCAGGTATTTACAATGAACCCCTCTAAGGATTCCACTTCCTCCTGTAGCGTGCTGTTACCTACCCTGCCCAGCCAGGGAGAAAAACACTGCTTGACCTCCAGAAGGTGCTTAATGCTTAACGTTGACTCATGTTTTGTTACTACAGTCCCGTTTAGTCCATCATTGGTGCTTTTTGTTTCTCCACCCCTGATCAGGGAACGGAGAGGGAAAACCTCAGAAGGTGAACACAAATCCTATTACATCACTGAGAAAAACAACACCCAGGACACAGCCCACTTATGTGGATTCCTACTTCATCATTGCCAAATATAAGACCTTAGCGCTTCCCTAATATGCTCTCTGCCAGTCTGTTCCTGTGAGATCACAGGAGGAGGAGAAAGCACCCTGGCTTTCTTGTATACCATGTTTTGCAGTCAGCAAAGCACTTCTATGCCCAGAAGAGCAGGCAATAATATATATGCCCGCTTTACAAATGAGGCCCAGGTTAAGTCACTTATTCGGGAAGTTTGAGCTGCCCATGACAATGCACCGAGCCTTTAGAACGTTTTCAGATTGTAGCTATGATGATGATTGCATCCTAGGTTGAACTTTGCTTTCATTTTGCTCTTTTAGATGAAGTTCAAGCACAAGCAGTCTCCTTGCTATTAAAGATAGAACATAATTGATATGATCATGAATGTTCTTCCTGTGAGCTGGATGAGAGCTTCAAATACACACCAAGCAGTTGGGAGAATCATATGTTTGCAAGACATGGCACCAGTCTTAATCCCTTAACTTGATAAGTTTTCCTTGAACCCCAACCATATGCCAGGCACTGACTGAGTTCTGAGACTGCAGTGAGTCAAACAGACCATTCCTGTCTGCACAGAACATACAGTTTCTTAGCAAAGGCAGACACCCTCCAGACAATCAATCATGGTAACAAAGCAGCGACTGCTGGGATTGAACAGGATGGTGTTTTATGAGAGCTCAGAGGTCTGAGTGAAGGTTTCCCAGATAATGTGGCTGTTGCGTTGCCCTGAGGTTGATAAAGGTTGATTAAGAGTACTAGGGGGTAGTAGGCACAGAGAGGTGCTTTGCCTAAGATCACAGTCACGCTTAACTGGTGAGGCTTACACTCAGTGACCGGGCAAGACAGGGCATACAAATCCAGTTGGCTGGTCAGCTCTGGGGCCTCCCCACCAGGTTGGCTTTGTCAGACTTGCATTACAGTTTTTCTTTCTCTGCCCATTCTGCTTTTTTTTACTTCCTGTTGTAGGAGTTGATCCCTAATACCCATCTTGCAACTCATATCTGCTGTCAGGGTCAGTAGTGAGGACAGCCTCCCAGGCCAGGGACCATAGAGGGACTCCAGGAAGGCCAAAGTAACTGGACAGCAAATGGTGAGGGTACAATATATATGGGATGAGTACTGTCAGGACAAGCAGACCACATCCAAAATAGGAGAGTTGTGGTGTTCTCTAAGTGTAAGGCTTGAAAACATAAGGGATGGGGCTCACCCCATGGCATAACTACCAAGCTGGCCTCCCATATGGGCATCAGTTCGAGTCTCAGCTGCTGCAAACATTTCAAGACAATTGGTCTAGGCAATGTGTAATTTAAACTTCAAAAAATTTTAATCAACAAAAGAATTTTGGCTTCATCCTAAGAACTTATTGAAAACATCTGGAAAGCTTAAAGTAGGGGAACAACATACTCAGGTTCATATTTAAGTTCTGCTCCATGGAGACTGGAATGGATTAGGGGAGCAGTGAAGGGTGTTGGAGAATGAGTTGTGACACAAGAAAGTCCAGTGTTGGCTGGTCCATCTGAGTGATTGGAAGTACACAGGCTCTTCTCTCTCACCAGCACCTGGCATATCACCTGGCACAGCAGTTCCCAGTAAACTTTGTTGCTTAAGTGAAAAAGTACGTTCTACAAGGACCATGTCACCCAACATGAGATGGGTGGTGTGTGGTAAAAGCAGTGTCCAAGACTGAGTCAGCTTGTTCTTGAGCTCCTTGAGGGTCACTTCTGTAGAAAACCACAGAAGACAGTGAGTCTTCCCGGAGCAGCAGCACATGGGCAGTGTAGGGCTGGAGGCCTGATGAGCAAGTTCTTGGTATGCTGAGTCAATATTGGGCTAAGTGTTTGGGCAGTTCTTCAGAGATAACTCAGAGTCCCCTTGCTCTTGGTACATTTGGGAGGTCAGGGAGACATTTGTGTTCTCATTAATCAAATGCCTTGATTTATACTCTCTTAAGCATGTGATTCTAAAGTGATTGATGTCCAAGGATCCAAGGTAGTGATTCCAAAGTGTTGTCCAAGGGTCACCTGAGTGTTTGCTTAAAATGTTGATTTCAGAACCTTGGCTGAATTTGCTGGTTCTGAAATCCCCAAAGTAGATTGCCCCAGGAATTTTCCCATAATTAGGATTCTGATGATGCACTGATGTTTGAGAAACACAAGGGCAGGGCCAGGCTAGGTGTATCATCGGAGTAAAGGTCAAATCAGGAAGGAGTTGCAAATTTGTCATTAATCTCCTGTCCACTTTTGAGCCGGGGTAATCCACCATTCCGACCTTAGCCTTTTTGTGGAACTCCCTGCGTTTCTAGCTGAATTCTCATTTTGTGCTCTTCCAAGAAGCTTGAAGACAGTGCAACCTTGCCTTCCCACCTGAACAGTCCCCCCCCCCCCCATTTACCACATTGTAGTTTCTGCTCATTGAGCCACTATGGCCTCATGTGTCAGTGAGGGCAACAGCACCTGCTTAGAAGGTTGCTGAGAGGGTTAGAAATGCCTCTTGAATTTTTCCGTTTATTTGAGGGACCGAGAGAGTAGCATCTCCAATCCTCTGTTTCATTCCCTAAATACCCACAGCAGCCACGACTGGGCTGAAGTTGAAGCTAGGAGGCAGGAACTAAAGCCAGGTCTTGCACATCGGTGCCAAGGCCCAGTGACTTGAGCCACTACTGATGCCTCTCAGGGTCTGCGTTAGTAGGGAGCTGTGGTAGGCATCTTAACCACTATGCCCCAAGAAATAATGTGTGTGTGTTTTTAAAGGCTCATCAGTTGGGTGACTTCCCAACTGGCTAGAATGGCTGGAGCTGAGCCTATCTGAAACCAAGAATCAGGAGCCTCTTCCGTGTCTCCCATGCAGGGTCCCAAGGCTTTGGACCATCCTCTACTGCTTTCCCAGGCCATAATCAGAGAGCTGGATGGGAAATGGAGCAGCTAGGACATGA